AGCTGCGGCTCGGCGCGGACAAGCAATACTTCACGGTGAGCGAGACAAACGGGAACCTGTACGTGAGCGAGAGGCTGGACCGGGAGGAGCTGTGCGGCGAGTCGTTGTCCTGCTCTGTCAGCTTCGAGGCGCTGGTGCACAACCCGCTCAACGTTTTCCACGTCGGGGTGGCCATTGAGGACGTGAATGACAACTCCCCGTCCTTCAGAAAGGATGTTTTGGAACTCGAGATCGGTGAATTAATTCCTCCCGGCACTCGTTTTCCTCTGGAGATGGCCCGAGATGCGGATGTGGGCAGGAACTCACTGCTGACTTACGAGCTCAGCAGCAACCCGTCCTTCAGTCTGTCCATGAAGGAGAGACCAGGCGGAAAGAAGCAGCCTGAATTAGTGCTGGAGAGAGCGTTGGACCGGGAGAAGCAGAGCTCCTTTGAGTTGGTGCTGACGGCAGTGGATGGCGGGGACCCAGCGAGGTCTGGGACTGTCCAGATTCGTGTCAACGTGTCTGATGCCAACGACAACCCTCCCGTGTTCAGCAAAACAGTGTACGAGGCGCGAGTGGCCGAGAATCTGCCGGCAGGGTCACTGGTGCTGCAGGTGCGGGCCACGGATGCGGACGCGGGGTCCAATGGGCGGGTCTTCTATTCCTTCGGCGACGTCCCCGACTCCGTCAGCGCTTTATTCTCTGTCGACAGCGAGAGCGGTGAGATCAGGACAGCGGGTCCCCTCGACTTCGAGGAGAAGAGTGAGTACAGCTTCAGCCTGGAGGCGACGGACGGCGGCGGGTTCACTGATCACTGCGAAGTGCAGATAGACGTGACGGACGAGAACGACAACGCGCCCGAGATCACGATTCTGTCACTGTCGAGCCCCGTTTCTGAGGACGCGCCGACGGGAACCGTGGTGGCCCTGCTGAACGTGAACGACCCAGACTCCGGCGAGAACGGTGAGGTGTCGTGCGAGCTGTCGGGAGAGGCGCCGCTGTCGATCGTGGCGTCGTCGGGCGGCTCCTACAAGGTGGT